GCAGGAAAAAAATGTTCAGACATGGTATTATCATGAATAAATTGGTGACCATGGTTGAGTGAACCCCAGTTCTCCATTTTGAAGTGACAGATGGTTAGGTCCGCTGGGGCGGAACAGCCACGGCTAAGTTTGTCTGAGTTTCGAGTGTGACCCAGACATGGTGGAACACCGGCTTAGGGCTAAATTGGACCAGATGGCTCAAGTGACAAAGTCACAGGAAACTTAACAATAAACATCCTATTTAAATCAATGAGTAATTCTCTACATGAAAAGTACATACCTTGAGTCGGATGTCTGTTCGTCTAGACTGGCCGACACACTGACTGACTGACTAGGATATGATTAAATCCTATTATAATCATTATCCAAACGGACTGCTCCAAGCACTCGGTCCCATACGGGCTGTCCGAGCTTCCGTCAAACAACATCACTGTCTCATTCCCAGTTTCGTAAGGAGAATTTTCAAATTCCTAACAGTGTCGAGAAGTTTGGCCAGTGAGTTCCGTGCTTCTGGCATGTTAGCTTTTCTTCTACCCTGTGCCAATAATAGACTCTTCCAGTTTGCAGAGTAGGGCAGACTCTATATTTAGCCTAGGGGGATACAGGCTAGACAAGCCAGCGAGACAGGCCAAGCCTGTACGGGAGATCCCACTACACTGACTCGACAGAACTCTTTCGCGTATTCACTCAATTCGGCTTTCTTCTGCAACTGTGTCTGTGGCAGAGATAATCAACACTGTCCACAGCCCGGGTCTGCCCACCTCGCGAGACAACAAATTTACTTAATCCCTTATCACACAATAGAAAAAGGAAGTCTATTGAGTGTGATTCTCAGCAATTTGAAGTTAAGATGAAATGTCTGTCAATAAACCACATCTAGACAAAGTGACACATCTACACATAGTGACACATCTAGACATAGTGACACATCTAGACACTGTGACACATCTAGACACAGTAACACATCTAGACACAGTGACACATCTAGGACATAGTAACACATCTAGACACAGTGACACATCTAGACAGAGTGGCACATCTAGACACAGTGGCACATCTAGACACAGTAACACATCTAGACATAGTGACACATCTAGACACAGTGACACATCTAGACATAGTGACACATCTATACATAGTGATACATCTAGACAGAGTGACACATCTAGACAGAGTGACACATCCAGACATAGTGACACATCAAGACAGTGACACATCTAGACAGAGTGACACATCTAGACAGAGTGACACATCTAGACAGAGTGACACATCTAGACAGAGTGACACATCTACACATAGTGACACATCTAGACAGAGTGACACATCTACACATAGTGACACATCTACACATAGTGACACATCTAGACACAGTGACACATTAAGGACTACCATTGAATAAGCTAACACTACAACCAATCTAGGGGACATATCTTTCTTTTAGTATTTCATCCACTGAACTACGTTCTATGTTAATGTAAGTGTGAAATATCCCTGTATCACATGCTCAGTGCCACAATAAACTGCTTACAGTAAGTAATTCATCACAGAGTTAATACTCCCAAACCAACCAAGCTGATGCTTCTAATCTGTGTATAATAAAATATCCATCAACTTGGAAGACACATAAAGGTGCCGGCATTGATGACTACAGGAAATTGTCCTGACAGAACCTTGTTAGCCAATAAGCAGCTCTGATAGTCAGGAGATAAAACTTAATATCATCAGAAGGTGAAGGGGCACATGTCAGGGGAGGCCACTCTCAGCAAGTCCATGGGCATCCTCACGCTTGCCCTCTCCCAATTCCATCTTTAATATCAAAGTTTTGTCGACAACAGGGTCTGGTTAATCCAGCCCCTTGTGGCAGACAAATTAATAAACTCTTCTCCATGCCTCACTGACTCTGGTTATTTCGACACTTTATGTGTCTGCAACTCAAGTATGAATATCTAATTAATTTGGCAATTACTCGAACCCTAATCCACAGCAGATTGGTTGAGTTTACACGGCATTAATCATAGTGTCTAGACCAGACCTTGCTTTCTTGTCCTGAGGACAATTCCAGAATGGCCAGCTCGGCTGAGCTTGGGGATTTACATTTCAGACTAGTTCACTGAACCCAAGGTTACATTTGAATCCATCCAAATTACCCAAATTTCATCATTTCATGATTACCAAGTTCACTCGGTGCCTATGAAACAACAGCTGACTGGACCCTGTCTATAGAGTCTTATATAATACCTTGACTGAACTCTGTCTACAATCATCTATGGCTTAACTGGACTTTGTCTGTAGTTGTGTTCATATGGCTTCACTGGCCATTATGAAAATTTCTGAATGCTTGCATGCCCCACAACAGGGAGATCTAAACAGGGACATGGTTCTAGGGTTAAAACGATTGCCCCAATAGTCACCCAAACACAGAGCCCAAACAGGTGCAACAATACCCCAATAGGCAGCCCTAATAGGAACAAGGCTCTAGGCTTGCAACAAGTGCCCCAGTAGTCATGCAACACAGAGCCCTAATAGGAACAAGGTTATAGGCTTGCAACAAGTGCCCCAGTAGTCACGCAACACGGAGTCCTAATAGGAACATGGTTCTAGGCTTGCAACAAGTGCCCCAGTAGTCACACAACAAGGAGCCCTAATAGGAACAAGCTTCTAGGCTTGCAACAAGTGCCCCAGTGGTCACACAACACGGAGCCCTAATAGGAACAAGGTTCTAGGCTTGCAACAAGTGCCCCAGTAGTCACGCAACACGGAGCCCTAATAGGAACAAGCTTCTAGGCTTGCAACAAGTGCCCCAGTGGTCACACAACACGGAGCCCTAATAGGAACAAGGCTCTAGGCTTGCAACAAGAGCCCCAGTAGTCACACAATACGGAGCCCTAATAGGAACAAGGTTCTAGGCTTGCAACAAGTGCACCAGTGGTCATACAACACGGAGCCCTAATAGGAACAAGGTTCTAGGCTTGCAACAAGTGCCCCAGTAAGTAGTCACACAACACGGAGCCCTAATAGGAACAAGGTTCTAGGCTTGCAACAAGTGCCCCAGTGGTCACGCAACACGGAGCCCTAATAGGAACAAGGCTCTAGGCTTGCAACAAGTGCCCCAGTAGTCACACAACACAGAGCCCTAATAGGAACAAGGTTCTAGGCTTGCAACAAGTGCCCCAGTGGTCACACAACACAGAGCCCTAATAGGAACAAGGTTCTAGGCTTGCAACAAGTGCCCCAGTGGTCACACAACAAGGAGCCCTAATAGGAACAAGGTTCTAGGCTTGCAACAAGTGCCCCAGTAGTCACACAACACGGAGCCCTAATAGGAACAAGGTCTGCCTTTAAAACATACAGGAACAATCTGAAGCTGCTCACATACAGATATAAAAGATTTCCACGCACAGAACGCCATATCCCGTTGGTACCAGGCAATAAAGACTTATTTTATCAAATCATATATTTTCGTGACAGCTGCTTAAAGGATTTCTCTGACCAATTCTTTGGGGAAGGGAAAAATAGCAGCCTTCAAGCTAGACTTTTCATTTTGCACACTTGCGGAATAAATACGGTAGCAGTAATATATTTTATTCACCCCTTGTGTTCTCCCACAAACAAAAGTCCAGACTTGAGAGCCGAACCCTGGAGGCAGAGCTGCGAGTGCATTCTATACGATGTAGTTCCACATCTCAGTCTATCCTCAAGAGTATCCCACTTGTCCAATTCATTTAATTTTCCTTTTTTTCATTCAAGCTATGAGGGGTTTATTCAATGCTATAGAGAGTCGGTGTTTTCCCTCTCTGCTCTGCTAATAAAGTTAGGAGGTTGGTGTCGTTTCCTTCACATTCGGGTCGCTAGTGATAAACTTGTCAGTTGAAACTAGACTGAGCTCTGTCTGGGGTAGATAACGTGGCTGTATTCACGTTTTAATCCAAACCGACTAATTCAGACGTATGTAACTACCACTGGTAGTTTCAGATTGGATATATTTATTCTGAAATCACAGACCAGCGATTCACAACCAGAGCGAAGATTTCCATAAGATTTACTTCTTTTCCTATATCAGAATGTAAACGAGATTTGTGAGAGGGAATATTTTTTTCTTTAATTTCAAATAGTGTGTACAGGGCGAGGAGTCACAGGATTAAACCATTTGGTCCCTTGGACAGGTCGTCCAAACTCAGAATGTCTGTGGTTCAAATGCAATCACAAGAACCGGACACTTTATGGCTGCTATAGTTGCACTCAACATGGGTCTGAGCACATCCATAGAACATTTGAGCAGGGTAAGTCTCATTACATTCCCCGGACATGCCTTCTGTTGATGGGAGAGTACTCGTGTAGCAGGGTGTGAAGTCATCCCACAGATCACATTCTTATCTTGTCAGTTTCCCTGATCGGGTTAACTTCTTTGGTCAAGTGGACAAGGCGTCCGACCTCAGATCAGAACGTCTGTGGTTCAAAACCCATTGTGGGAAACGTCAATTTTATGGCTACTACACATAGTAACCTGATCTCTCACCTAAAAGGTTAGGTCAGCAGTTCAAGTGTTAGCTCATCACACCACAGTCCTGAGTTTGCTTTCCCATATGGTACAATGGATGAACCAAATCTGTTTCTAATCTAGCTCAAAATCAATCACTCTTTGTCATGAACAATGACTTGAAGGTTTACATACAGGATGGTGAAATATGGCAGTCATTGTACTTTGACAACTACTTTCTGAAAACAGCCATGCAGTTTGTCAGTCTAAACTACTTGACCTGTGAATAATTTCAAGGTGGTACAACACCAGGCACGTTGGTTCCGATTCTGTCTGACTTTTTCCTGTAGTGTCTGGTAACTAGGAGAAACATCCTCCATCATTGTGCGTACTGTTCCACAGATATCATTCCCCCAGTGACTAATGTCACTTTCCAACTTGAAAACAATCAACTGACATAAATCATAGTGTTCGGGAGGCTATGATTGATTCTGATGAAAAGCAGATAAAAAGGTGTCCTTACCAGATTCCCGCAATGAAGACAGTATCCTCCTTGAAGGATGGTGTCACCATGCAGATAGCAGCATAACTTGGACGATAGCATCACTTGGAAGGTAGCATCACCTGCAAGATCCATGTGTTGGGAATAGAGATACGCAAGAAATGAAAGATGAGGTGAAAAGGGGTTTAACATTATCTCACTTGTATAGTGAAGTGCATGCGCATGTGTGTGTGGCTGCTTGTACCTGTCCTGAGGTATGCTGGTTTTGTGGCGCTATACCATGTTGCAGTTTAACATGAATACCTCAAGCAGACACGGTATACCGACTCAAGAGCCAACCAGTCCTTGTTTTATTCCCTTTATGTCTTGCGCCAACCTGGGTAACAACAAGTACAATCATTTAAAGCGGCCACGTAACCGAACCACGGACCCTCCGCTCTCCCGACAGGCGCCCTATCCATGCAGGGAGTGGAGAGTAACATTGGAGGACAGGTTGGACAGATGGTTCAGTGGTGCTGGAGGGAAGGACAGGGTTGGGCAAATTTGTAAACAGGTGGTGTTGGGTGGTACTAATTTCAGGTGGGATAGAGAAGTGGGGTGAAATTTAAGACATGGAGTGGCTGAGGATGGTGGGTTGGGTGTTGTGGAGTGTGGTGGGGAGTGTGGTGGGGAGATGCATGGTCCAGTAAGATTATTTTCTGTGGGGAATACATAACATCTTTCACAAAAAACACTGAGATTCACAAGCAACACCTTCAGGCGTGTTGAAAAACGTCTCATCATTCAGTGAGTATCTTCCAACTTCTCCAAAGCGAGAAAAAAAGAGTCTATGAATAGTTGCAAAGGTATCACGCTTGTAATACTCAAGGGGTTTCTGATAAATTGTTTCCCTCTGCTTCTGACACTTAGTGGCTAAATTGTCTGGGAGGAAGTCGAAACATTTTGTCACCACATAACCTAATGGGGAATATCTCGGTTCAACCATAAATAGTAAAAAAGGGCTTTCTATTTAGAGTGAGATCTTGAAATTCTGTTGATTAATGCTGGATCATGTAGAAATTGATGGCAAGCAACAAAACCGGTTCTCCAACAACATGACGGATCATTGCAATTAACCAACACGATACCACCGGATCTTAATGACAGACCATTTAACACCAGCGTTTATCAAAGCCAAGAAGACCCCAATGCTTTATAATCGTATGGCAAGATTTTCAGACAAATTGCTTTATAAGATTCACAGAGTGTTTTTTAAAGGCTCTATTTCCATGGGACTATTTCGGTCCAGTGTTAATGTCTCATATGGGCTGCTTATTATTGTTGCGTTGCAAAAAGGAAATTTCTCCACGTACCAGAGGTGAACAGTTGGTACCAAAGGGACAAAGGCAGCTTGTGTGATTGTACAAGCACTGCAGTTGTCATGGGGGCACACTTCATATTGAACCATTGTGAACATGTCTATACGACAACAAACATCACAACGCTGACACTGTCAGCCTCGAATAGCAACAGGACGTACACAGTAAATGTTTGTCGCAAAAGTAAGAAACCTCGTTGGCCAACAAGCTCTGCATCAAAGATTTCCCCTCCTGCAACTCAGTACGCAAACAGCTGTAAACAATGAGATCAAATTGAGGCGGACTTATCTCAACGATGTCTAGACTAAGAGTTACGATTCAATGAAATTTTGTTGATCTGCGCTGATAGATGAAAAATCCATATCCACTTCAAAGTGAGAGTACAGTCTCTTTATTTGTGTATTGATTATTCTAAACACCAAGAGAATACAGCCATTCTAGGGGATTATCCCAGAGTGGAAATACTCCATCTTTAACTAGGTTTCTGGTTAGTGTATGTACACTAGTGTATGCGGTCTTCATTCTAGGCTTGTTCAAATGTAGTTAACTGGTAGTGTACACTAGTGTATGCGGTCTTCATTCTAGGTTTGTTCAAATGTAGTTAACTGGTAGTGTACACTAGTGTATGCGGTCTTCATTCTAGGCTTGTTCAAATGTAGTTAACTGGTAGTGTACACTAGTGTATGCGGTTATCATTCTAGGCTTGTTCAAATGTAGTTAACTGGTAGTGTACACTAGTGTATGCGGTCTTCATTCTAGGCTTGTTCAAATGTAGTTAACTGGTAGTGTACACTAGTGTATGCGGTCTTCATTCTAGGCTTGTTCAAATGGAGTTAACTGGTAGTGTACACTAGTGTATGCGGTCTTCATTCTAGGCTTGTTCAAATGTAGTTAACTGGTAGTGTACACTAGTGTATGCGGTCTTCATTCTAGGCTTGTTCAAATGTAGTTAACTGGTAGTGTACACTAGTGTACAGTAGTGTACGCAGTCTTCATTCTGGTTTGTTGGTTTGTTGTTTAACGCTGCACTCAGCAATATTCCAGCCATATGACAGCAGTCTGTAAATAATCGAGCCTGGACCAGACAATCCAAGGATTGATATCAAGAGCATCGATCAACGCAATTAGGATCGATGACATGCATCAACCAAGTCAGCGAGTCTGACCACCTGATCCCATTAGTCGCCTCTTACGACAAGCAAAGTTTTCTTTTACGGCAAGCATGGGTTGCTGAAGATCTGTTCTACCCGCATCTTCACTGGTCCTTCATTCTGGCCATCATCATCATCATCATCATCATCACCATTATCATCATCATCTATATTGTTTTGGCCATAGTTTCATGCCATAATCATTACAACTCAACAATCAAGTTCATGAGTTTGCAAGAAATACTTGTGAGATAAAAATCTCACATTTTGCTTGCTAAATAGGTCTGTGTTATTCTTGTCAAAACCAAAAGAACTTTAAATGTAGAGCTGCAGAACAGTTTGTCCTACACTACCACGAGGGCAGGAAGGATCACCCTATATTGGCTAATGTCTCATCCCTCAAAGCTAAAAATATGACCAAAACTTGTCAATTTCACTCGAGATAAATCAGAAGATTCAAATCTCCCTGGCAACAGAACATGATAAACTGATACGAAGTATGATGATTAAAATTGATTTTGTCTGCACGATAAATCAAATTTCATCTACACACCTACATACAAGATACGATTCTTGACTTGAGAGTCGAGATGGAGCCTTGTGAGGGTTGTGTGTTTGTAGTTCACCACCACACACAATATTCTAGCTGGAAGATTGTAACCTCTAAATTATCAAGTCTGGATCACACAATCCAGTGATTGGTATTACAAGGATCATCCTCAGGGAGGAAAATGGCTGACTTTGACATTGTTGGCAATACTTTATTCATCTCTAATACATTGTTTAATATAATTATCAAGCCTAAGATTTCGGTATACTACTGCAATACAACTGTAATAATTGACACCTATCAAAATAGTGGCAATAGTGATGCCACACCATCAGCCAAGGCACCAGGGCTAAACATCTAAGCAAAATAAACAATTTTGGACTGATAGTCCATTGAGTGTCATTCACCATTATATGCACACACAGCATTCTCCAGCTATTTGATTTGTACACATGTAAACCCACACAGAACTCAATGGCTGCAATAGAAACTAACTGCTTTAGTCCACCAGTCCTTATAATGATTTCATATAGCAAAATGCTCAATAATGGCAAATTTCGACTAGTCCTACCTTAATTTTGGGCAGTTTCGCAAGGACGATGAGACTAGTGCCAATTTTTAACGATGCGACGGTACTATCTTTTGGCTGCAGGTGACATGGCACCCAAAGCGAGAGAATGTATGAAAAATCACAACAACTTAATGACGCTGACATACTCTCTACCTTCAGAACTTGGCATTTGAGTTTGTTTCGAGATACAAAAATCAGATATGCTGGTTCGAAAGTTCAGCGACCTCCTATTTATTTGTCATCAGATCTTCATACAGAGAACTATTATGTCAGAGTAAGAGATCAGATTGCAGAGAAATAATTACCTGTCCCAACATAGTTCCTACTGATGGGTTTCAGAGTGTTGACTGGTATGTGTCAAGGTTAATCAAGAAGGGTGACATTTACACTAACATATAGTCTATGGAGTCATTTATTACACAATACGTTTCTCTCCTCCAAAATTAAAACAAATCATTTTCCTGATGCTTCTACACTTGCTTATATAGGAATCCAGAATGGTTTTGTTTTTACCAAATACATATATTCCAGCCTTGGAGCAAGACTAGGTGACACTGTCACATTATTTCAACATAATGTTTGTTTGGGGATACTGAATGTCTTCGTATCTTAGGTCCTCCTAAAACTATTTTCTTACATCTGACAATGGCCTCTCGCCTTAAAAGACACAACATCGTGACTAGTAAAGACAAGGATGAAATCCTTGACATTTGGGATTCATCATGTTGTAACATGATTATTGTGTTCATGTCCAAAGAAAAATCAAAGCACTTGATATCAACATTTTTATATCTACAGTCCAAAAATAAAAACATTAAAGACTGTTGTGTGGGCAAAACATTGTCTTAATTGTATGGGCAAACGTCAAGGCCAACAAATGCATCTATGACTGGATCGTGTGCATCATGTGCATGAAGGATAGTCGGCAGCAGACTGAAGTACTGCAGTACTGTATAGTGAGCCGCCCCCTCTAGCGGATACAGTATTTTGGAAGAAAAACAATTTCAATTTTGCACCGAAAAAAAATCATGCTGTACCCCTTCAGCAAATTCTGGTAAACGAACGGGTGATGAGAAACTTGGTCAGTACAAATTTGAACTGTGAGACAAAAAAAATCACCAGACATGTATTTTTTGTTCCGTTAGGCATTGTTTTTTACATGCAGATTACCATGTGTATTTTCTCGTAAACTACGCCAAAAACAGCAGTCCGCTGTACTCACGTTTTCTTGGAATCTACCGGTGATTTTACTAAACTCACACTTGAGACTAGAAGCTATTCTGTCTCCCAGACCCTATAGGGAATAAATTACAAGACAAGAGGACAAAGTCATCAATATCCCCACAAGGTTAAATACTTGTGCTGAATAAATATATGAAGCTTGTTGCCAAGGAATATCTATAGTTATAATAAAAATCCCAAACAAACAAAAGGCACCAGTTCACAAATAGGCCTATCTATGTGCCAAGTTTGGTAAAGAAATATATAAAAA